TAGTTGGATCGACCATTTAGCCATGCGACCTGACAACTCGGGTTTCCTCATGATAGACTTCATGGGATAATTAGTTCGAACACAAATTGTATGTGACTTGAAGCAGTAATTAAGGCCAAAACCAACTTTTCAAGTAAAGCGTTCCTGGATTCCAGGCCATTGTGGGACTTACTTATGTAGTAGACCAGCGTTTGTTCTCCGTCCTCTTCTTTGGTCAACACGGCACTAACAACGTGCTCTGAAACGGCTAAGTAAAGTTGAAGTTCTTCGCCTTCTTTGGGCTTCGTCGGCAATGGTGGAGTCGTCATGTATTCCTTTAATTGCTGAAGCGCTCGTTCATGTTGGTCCGTCCATTCAAATCTTTTGTTCTTGCGCAGCAAATCATAGAACAGCTGGCACGTGTCGCACGACTTAGAGATAAAACGGTTCAAAGCTGCAACTCGTCCTGTCAGCCTCTGAACGTCTTTGACGGACTTGTGGGACTCTATGTCGAGTATGGCCCAGACTTGTTCTGGGCTTGCTTCTATCCCTCACTCGTTGACAATGTAGCCCTAAAATTCTCCTGACGACACTCCGAAAGTACATTTCGCCGGATTGAGCTTCAGATTATACTCTTTTAGCTTTTTAAATGATTCCGTCAGATGGTTGATGTGATCCTCAGTTTTCTTTGATTTGACGATCATGTCATCTATGTAGACCTCCATGGTCTTTCCTATGTGGTCCTTGAACATCATGGTGACGAATCTTTGAAACGTTGCTCCTGCATTTTTAAGACCAAAAAGCATGACAATATAACAGTACGTACCTGTTTCGTTGATGAAAGCCGTCTGATGGAGTATATGGCCCGGGAACCCCCGGCCCACAGACTCCTACTAATCTATCACAAACCCAACAAGCCCAAGGAGCTCAGGAGGCCCAAGATTCGGCGGCCCAAGCGTCAAGAAGCCCACAGTACACACAGGGATGCCTTCGGCCTCCTTGGCCGAAGGCTCCAAAACTCATAGAGCCGCCATATTCGACCATGCGAAGCTACTGGGAGAAAATGACAGAAAACAGGAGCCTTCGGCACTGTGGAGCCCTCGGCACCAGGGGAAGCCCTCGGCTGAACCAAGCCTTCGGCTACACAGGGAGCCTTCGGTCATACATGAAGTCTTCGGCCACACATGGAACCTTCGGCCACATAGGAAGCCTTCGGCCATACATGAAGCCTTCGGCCACACAGGGAGCCTTCGGCCATACATGGAGCCTTCGGCCATACATAAAGCCTTCGGCCATACATGAAGCCCTCGGCCATACATGAAACCCTCGGCCATACATGAAGCCTTCGGCCACACAGTGCCTTCGTCCACACAAAGCCCTCGGCTACGCGAGGAGCCTTCGGCTAAGCGGACTCAATCATCGAAGTTCCCTTTAGAGACAGCCAACCACCGCATTTAATGCCACATCACATCCGCCAACCGCATTCAATGCGGTGGACGTACCACTGCCGGTGCCAACCGGCTGATGCGACCCTTCGGCCGTTGGATTACTGACACGTGTCCTCTCATCGCATTTATTGCTGCTATAAATAGCAGCCCATTTCTCCTTGTAATCGATCCCAACTCCACATCTCGAGTTCATTTAATAAAATCGACTCTCTCTCCTCCTATTTACTCTGACTTCTCTCTAGTTATTCCCGCAATAACCCCTCGGATAGGATACCCCCCGGGTAGACTATCCATCACCGTCTTCTCCCGGTCATCAGGATGCAGTTGAATCTAGTGATATCCGCTGAAAGCGTCCATGAATGATAGCATTTCGTGTCCAGCAGGTGCGTCAGCCAATACATCTACGTGTGGCATTGGGAATGAGTCCTTCGGGCATGCCTTGTTTAAATCTGTAAAGTCCACGCATACTTGCCACTTCGCTTTTCTGCCTTTCTTTCCTTTCCTCTTTCAGACGACGATGACGTTCGCTAGCCAATCTGGATATTTGACCTCTCTTGCTTTCCCGGTTCGGATGAGTATTTCAATTTCCTGTTTCACGATGTCATTTCGCTGCCCGGAAAAGCGTCTCCTTCGCTGTCTGATGGGTTTGCATGACAGATTTACATTAAGTCTGTGTGTTATAATTTTTGGGTCAATGCCTGTCATGTCTTCATGGCTCCATGCAAAGACATCCTTGTGTTCCTTGAGAAATTCAATCAGCTCGCCTTTGAGATGCTCTGGTACGTTTTTCCAATGCGGATGACCCCTTCTAGATGTTCGGGGTCAATGACGACATCTTCTGTTCTATCGTCATCTTCCTCCAAAGCGGGGTCACCCTTTAAATGCTATGCTGAAGTTGACGGACTCGCTGTCGGCTTAATGGCGGTTTGATAACAAGACTTAGCCGCTCTTCGGTCTCCTTGGATAGATTGTACTCCCCGGGGTGTCGGGAACTTGACAACCTGATGGTACGTTAACGAAATGGCTCCCATTTGATGCAACCATGGAGTTCCCAGAATCATATTATATGCCGGGAGGTCTTGGACTACATCGAACTTAACCTGCACATTAAGACCATTCACGTAAACAGGAAGGGAAATGTTACCTATGGTCTGGCTTGGTTCTCCATTGAAACCAACTAGGGTAGATCCTGACTTCGTTATATCAACCTCTTTGATCTCCATTTGCTTCAGAATTTGCATGGTGGTTATGTTTGTCGTGCTCCCATTGTCAACAAGGACCCGTTTTACTTGGCAGTTTGCCACTCTCAGAGATATGACCAAAGCGTCGTGATGAGACTGTGAAGGGCCGGGGATATCTATCTCATCGAATGTGATAAATATGTTTCTCCAATCATCCTGTCGCCTTTCTACCCTGCAAACTTGCAATGACTTGTCTCGGGAATACTCTCGAGCGTGTCTTTTGGCTGCGGAATATGTTAGTCCACATAAATCTGACCCACCGTTAATGAAATCAATTACCTTACAAGGGGCTGAAGGTGACAGGGGCCACTGTTTGTTTGATGACGACTTGTCATTTCGTCCTAGAAGAGCTCTGGTCTGTTCCGACTTCTTTCCGCAGTGCGACACAATCTTCAGTGTTGTGTCCAATATCATTGTGGAAATCACAATGTTTATTGGGGTCTCGTCATCCAGCGGGTTTGTCAGTTTTCCTTGGCCATCGAATCTTATCTCCTAGTTTCTCCAGCGAGTTGATGAGTCCCAGGGTATTGACGTTGAAGCAATAGTCGTGGATGACAGGTGGCAATTCTGGATCGTCAAGCTAGTGCGTCACTGATGTGACGGGTCGCTCCTCAGTTTTGGCACAATGCTTGCCGTATAATTGTGCTTTCTGGACGTGTTGGATTTGCGCTGCCCCCTTCATATCTGTCGAGGCGATGTCGTGACTGTTGATCCTCTTCCAATCTGATGAAGGACAATGTCTTAGCTTGGACATCTTCAAAGGTTCGGCAAGGATACTTAGTCAATTCTCGATACAACTCAGAGTCGTCAATTAACCCCCTTCGGAATGCTTCCACCGCTGTTGGTACGTCACACCTTGGAATCGATACTTTTCCTTTGTTGAAACGATGAAGATAGTCCCTCAATGACTCACCTCGTTGTTGGATAATTCTGTACATATCACTTGTTTGTTTCTCCAAAATGCGACTGCTTGCGAACTGTTGGTTGAACAAGTCGACAAGTTCCACAAATGAACTGATCCCCTCATTTGGCAAGTTGACGAACCAGGTTAGAGCTGGTCCTGAAAGCATCGTTCCAAATCCACTGCACATGCATGCTTCCCTTTAGTTTGGATGAAGTGACACGACCAACATACGTTGCTTGTATTGGGCAACATGTTCCATCGGGTCAGACGTACCGTCAAACATTTTCATGGAAGGAGCGACAAACTTTCTAGGTATCTCAACGTCAGTAATCTGCCTGCTGAATGGGGATTCTGCATAACACGCCCGTGACGCTCTGTCCAAGGGCGGGGGCACCCCAGGCAATATGTTGATCTTGTCTAGCATTTGACGCATCCGTTCCATCATCATAGACATTTGATCCGCCACGCTTGGTTGGATTGGTGCCGGCATCGAGAATTCGAGACCATTGGTCCGGCCATCAGTGTGATTTTAGGACGGGTTGACGACGGGATGAAGATTACCTCAGGGCATCGTTCCATAAGTGTGGACGCTAATTTCGTGACAGGTCTGCGAGAACGTTGCACCTGACGCTTCATAAATGATATGTCAGAAAATAACCCCCGACCCCCCCCCCCCCCCCTTCACCCCCACCCCCCAAACCCCCCTTAAAACACCTAGCCCAACCCGGTAGAAAGTAAAAAAAATGAAAGAAAAAAAAAATTGGCCCAATCCGAGCCCAGACTGGCCGGGTCGGTTCGCCATTTAGGGGGCCCGAGCCTGCACTGGGATTAGACCGGTTCCGGGTGGCCCGAACCGTCCCCAAGACCGGGTACCGGGCCGGGCCGGGCCCAAACAGTTCCGGTCCGTGCCGGTTCCGGGCTGAGCGGGCCGACCCGAGTCCACCCCTAACCTAAGTGTACACAAAAAGTGTACAACTTTTGCGTACACCTAGCTCCACTCCTTGAACGATTACATCAGGCACAAATATCGAGAGATGAATAGAAACGTTGGCACACATGCATATGCTTGTAGATACCTGTACAACCCGAATAATTTTCTGAGATTCTCGAAGTCAGAATATATTTCGTGTTATAACTTATAAGGGTACAAGATCATGTTCGAATTCTCGGTAGAAACTCTTTTACTTTTCAGCTACGCTATCTCTACTTGTGTCCAAGTGTCCAATGGTTAAGTTTTCACTCGAATCGTCTCTTGAATATGGATTTTAAGGAACAAAACTGCATTTGAGAATCTCAAATCTAATAATGTGGATTGGTTGGGCTAGATTTGAGATTTGAGTAGTGAGGATTTGATGGCAAATCCCCCGTGTGACCTTTTTACATTTTTTGATTAATGAAGATTTTGCATTTCTTAAAACAAAAGAAAGTTTTAGCATTATTGATCAACAAATTTAAGGTTAGAGACTAGCAAAACAAGGATAATGTTCTTTTCGCATAAATGTATGGCTATAACTCTATAAGCTAGTGTTAAAGAGAAAGATGGAAGTGGCACAACATGAGGATAACCATCCTCGTTGATGTTCGAGAATAGCTCAACATGAGGATATTTTTCTCAAGGCCTCTAAATTCATGAAAAAAACTCCTTACGTATTTTATGCAGGTACCCAGCAAGCAGTGGCACATATAATCCAACCTTTCCACCCCTGCAGTATCCAATGACGGTCTTCATCAAACACAAAATCTTTGTGATATCCATCCTTCACCTTTTGCCTCAACTTCTTCAAAAGCAAAGTATTCATGGGCATGGGCTTGAACCCGGCCCTTATATTGCGCGATTCCCACTGCTTGTATGTTTCAGGTCTCTCTAATCTTTCCATGCCCTCACATCCAATGACATTCATTATTTCGCGTGCTAGGATTTGTTGTTCGAAACAAAATCTATCATCATCAAGGGGTAGAGTGGAATCATACATATCATAGATAGCAGAGTAGAATGACATAGCCTCTCGGAACCGAGAAAGAAAGAAAGTACAGCCATGAGATCCACTCATCACGGTTTGAACAAATATCTGTGGAGTTATTTCCCGGAGCATGTTTAGAAATGCAACCCGCGGGTTGTCTGCACCAACTGTCTCATCCATTAGGGATTTTAACCGAAACGCACATTTAACAGCAACCACCTCACCCCTCACAAGCTTCAAATCATCAATTGTAATTTTCTCCCAATTCTTTCTTGTTATGGCATTGTACTCAAATGGTACACCGAAATGCTCGCAATATTTTGCCAAGCGGCATCCTGTCTCTTCTACCATCTGCTCTGGACAAAAACAAAGTTGGGGAAGTTCAACTCCAGTTATTCGAAGTTTAGGTGGGCCACCCGGTCTTCGTGAAAGATCACGGATAAGAGTGGGCCACTGGACACCATAAGAAATACCAAAGTCCATGACATGCAATGATGTACATTTTGACGCTATTTCGTAAATCATCGTATTGCAAACAATATATGATATTCTTAAGACTGGCCAAGATATGAAGTGAGATCTCAACAGATCAGAAGATGTCACTTTAAATGGACCTAGGGCCGCACAGAGTTGTGGGCCAGTCCCATTAAGCCGTGCCTCGAGAGCATTAGCAAATGCATGAGCCATCCTTTGAATTGCATCACCAGTAAGCGACGAGTGTTGCCTGATCTTCTTCAGTTGTTCTCTTGCAGCCCTATCATCCAAAAAAGCAATAGATTGTGCACAGTTGGTTAAAAGAGACCCTAGATCTATAATTTCAGAAGAAACACCATGTTTCTTAGAATTGCTCTTCCTGCTTCTCTTTCCCTTCTTCTGTTCCATGATGCCCTTTCCACCAACTATGATATTATCAGTACAGATCAAAACCTTATCAAACATCTCTGATAACTCAACCTCTACGTTATAAACTGCAGAATACTTGGTGCTCCTTTCTTCTTCTTCTTCTTCTTCTTCTAACCCACGTTCATCTGGATTGTTGTGTTTCTTTCTTCTGGAGAAATCTGTGTTAAGGCTATCTGATTTAGTCTGACTTGATGACGGGAAAGATAAGTCTGGAGGATCACCGTCCGGAGATGATTTTGATTCTTCAGGGTCAACAATCCACTGGTTAGTGTTAAAACTACCAATGGTGGTTTCACTTGTAGTATCAACACCATTGTTATCATGCAGAGCTTCATAAAAGGAATTCTCTGCAGCTCTAAGAACAAGTGGATCATAGAGCATGCTGTGAGTATTCTCATCAATGCTATCCCCTAATAGCATATCGTTAATGTACTTGATCACAGGATCAGAGGCTGTTGAATGGACATCCATGACATTGAGAGGTAAAGAAAAATTGATCCTGTTCTCCAACTCGAATCTACTCACAGATTCACAAGGCCTACTCAACCCATGATCCATAACCTTCTATGAGACAAACCTGCATCCACATACATTTGGAAGACGAATAAGCAACATCACCAACCCATAGTATTAATAAGATTCTGCTGAGAAAAAATGGTATTTAAATTTAGGCATAAATGGTATTATCACTAACAATGAAAAACACTATGAGAAGTGCATTTCTTATGGACACGCACTCATGGGCTCAGTTTACCACCGCAGATGGATCCAAGAAGGGGCTAGCAGAAATGGCCAGCTGTGCTTATCAAGTTTGATTAAGTAAGTTGTTTCCTACTATGATTAGTGTTTTAGTCTTTCCTATTATTATTATTATTATTATTATATTAGTCTATTATTATTGTAGTTGTAATAGTTCTGGAAATCTGTTTCCTTTTAGCTTTGGGATCTTGTTGCCGATATAATCATATAAACCCTATCATTTGAAATAAAAAGATTATACTCCGTATCTATCAGTCCGTCCTGGACTAGATTTTGCTTCCTCATGCTTTAACAGCATTTCGACAAATATAATAAAGAGAGTGAAGAAACAATTCATGAACCTCACAGCCAATCCAAAAAAGTAACTTAACTGGGGCAATCTCAGGCACAGAAAAGGTAAAAAGGGAAAGTAATTGGGATCACATTCAAATTCAACATACTTATGTACGTCAAACAAATCAGATATCCAATCTTATTAACTTCAAATTACGATTTTTACAAAAAAAATAATAACTTTGAACAGACCAATTGAAACGGTCAGTGAATAGGGGGAACTCAAATGTAGAATGCGTTCAATACCACATGGATGCAGAAACTTGTGAGCCTTTTCCAACAGCGAAACAGAGACAGCTCTTCATCTAATACCCAGAAAGAAAGCAGCTGAGAAAACCCAATGGAATTTGGCTCAATTTAACTTTTAAGAAAGTCCAACTACCTCTGTTTGAATCTGATAACTCATTTGGGAATTTGGCGCACCATTATGTTTACTTAATTAATGTGGTCCACTCCTAATAAGGCTAATTTATCCTTTCTTTAAAAGTGATGCATGTGACACGCCCTTAATTTTAGGCTTTGTTTACCATACTACTTACAAGTGTTTTTAAAAAGTGATTTAAGAAAAAAGTAATTAATAGTAAAAGTTGGTAGTGTTTGAGAAAAAAATGATTTTGAAAAGTAAAAGTGGGTAGTGTTTGGTAAAACAAGTACTTTTTATGTAATATAAAAAGTAAAAAGCAAATTCTAGCTTTTAACTTTAAAGTACTCCCTCCGTCCCAGAGAGAAGTTCTCGGGTTGACTTTCACACATAATAAGGAAATAAAGTTACTGGGGGGTAAATTTTACTGTTTAACACTGTTTCGACACTGTTTGGCACTGTTTCGACACTGTTTTGCACTGTTTAGCACTGTTTGGCACTGTTTTGATGTAGAATAACTTTCCATTTAGGGAAATGAGAACTTCTTGTTGGGACTGCCAAAAAAGAAAATTGGGAACTTCTCCCTGGGACGGAGGTAGTATTAGTTTAAGCAGAAGTTGTTATTTGAAAACACTTTTTTAGCTTTTTTAAGCGAAAAGCTGGGAAACGTTTTTTCCAGTGTTTGCAAACAAAGCCTTAATCAATTGCGAAATTGATTCTTTGTCAAATAGTCTTCAGCCATGTGGCGAACAATTATTATTATTTTAACATGTTATAAATTTTTTATTTGTGCTCTGATTTATATAAAGATTGCATCAGAGTAAATAGTTTCTTATGCTCTTACATATGACACAAATATTACATATAAAAAAAATATTATGGTCATATTTTAAGTTTGTTTGATGGACAGTTGGTAAATGTGTACTTTTACTAAAGTACATTATTCGTCCTTAAAACTTTGTCATTGTTCTTTTTAAATTGTTCCAAAAATTTATCACTTTAATTTTCAATCAATTAATTTGTGGTTCATATTATATCTTTCCTCTATGTACCATCTCAACGACATGATTTTTACTGTATATGCTCTATGCAGCCATGTAGGTCAAATTGGACATAGTTTTAATAAAATGTTTGAGTATTAATTTAGGAAGCATTAATATATAAGAATGCACAATTTGTTACAAAAAAAAATATAAGAATGTACAATTGAAATTTTAAATATACACACTAATTTGACTGAACTTCATTTATTAAATTAGGAGACATTAATTTATACTTGTAATGCTAATGAGGTTGCTTATAATACACAAAGATTCCTAAAAAATAAAAACTACTAGTACTACGTATTACTCTTTTCCTTTACTTAGTTAAAGTTTTTTTGCGAAGGGTTTTTCCAACGAGTTTTTTTAATAAGGAATACACATGGTACAATTTTTTGCTACAAAAAGTTGGTAACCAGATTATATTGGATTCTACAAGAAGTCTTGAAGTGATGCAGTCAACATACGTACTATTAATAATACGGATCGCATTTTACTCTTCCAGGCCTCCATCTCTCTAGGGCTCTATACGCGTTGCACTCTTTTTCCCTTGACCAAGGTTTTATCTCACTGGATTTTCCTCGGCAAGATTTTTAACGTGGCAGCATCACCAACGTGTATAAAGAGAATAACGTATAATTTTATTTTATTTTTGTAATGTTTTTGTTTAGCCTTGTACATCAAGGTGTTATGTGATTATGGATGTCCATTAGTTCCCTGCCCAGGCCCGTATATCTGGACCATTTGACGATTGCAATCCCTAGCTCCCTCTGTTGAAGATGGAGTCTTGTTCAAAGTTTCAGAACTGATACCCGACCGGGTCAGATAAAGGACCCGACCGGGTATGTTGAAGCAGAGATCTGGGAGCTCACTGGACGTGAGACCCGACCGGGTCAGGGAAGGGACCCGACCGGGTCAGCAAGGCAGAAGCCTTCTGTTTTGGAAACCCGACCTGGTTTCTACCGGGTTTGTGTTCTGTGAAGGAGACCCGACCGGGTCAAATAAGAGACCCGACCGGGTCAGTCGACGGGAATTTTAAAAACAGGCTTAATTTTGGGCCTGCGGCTCTAATCTCAGTTTAGGTTTTCCTAAACCTATTTAAACGACTCTTATGTACTTGTAAACCTCTTGGGACGCTGATAATAATACATACTCTCTCTCGTTCGCCGTGGACTAGCGTAATCACCCCGATTGCGTGAACCACGTTAATTCTTGTGTTCTTGCTCTTAATTTATCGTTTATCTTTGCCTAATCGTAACAATTGGTATCAGAGCTATGGCTGACGAAGGGAAGGTTAAGATCGATAAATTTGATGGTCAAGATTTCGCTTTCTGGAAGATGCAGATCGAGGATTATCTCTACCAGAAGAAGCTTCATCAACCGTTGTCTGAGAACAAACCAGAAACGATGACGGAGGCGGAATGGAATTTGTTGGATCGACAGGCTCTTGGTGTGGTGAGGTTGTCGTTGGCGAAGAACGTTGCCTACAACATCGTCAACGAGAAGACAACGTTCGGACTGCTCAAGGCGTTATCCAATATGTACGAGAAACCCTCAGCGGCCAACAAGGTTTTCTTAATCAGACAGTTGGTGAATACAAGAATGAAGGAAGGTGAGGCTCGGTTGAGATTAAATTCGATGATGAAGTCCAAGCATTACTTTTGTTATCATCTTTGCCCGATAGTTGGTCCGGTACATTCACAGCGGTTAGTAGTTCATCTGGAACCACTAAGCTTACCTTTGAAGGTATTCGTGACTTAATCCTTGGTGAGGATATCCGGAGGAGGAGTTCGGGGGATAGCTCCAACGTTTGTTGAGTACTGAAGATAGGGGCAGAAAATCCACTAGAGGAGGTAACAAGAAGGGAAGATCGAAGTCGAGAAAGAGAGGGCAATCCAAGAACCGGAAGGACATCAATTGTTGGAATTGCAAAGAGAATGGACACTTCAGAAATCAGTGCCCAAAACCCCCTGCAGACAAAGGCAAGAAGGAGGTGAACGTGGCAGAAGATTATGAAGATGTTCTAATTTGCAGCATTGAGAATTCAGTTGAGTCCTGGATCATGGATTCAGGTGCGTCGTTTCATGCTTGTCATTGCAGGGATTTGATGAAAAATTTCAGGCCCTATAACGGAAGAGTTCGTTTGGCGGATGACAAATCCTTAGAGATCACGGGTATTGGAGATGTTGATCTCAGTACCTCTTTGGGTACAACCTGGAGGCTGAAAGATGTGAGGTATATTCCAGACCTGAAGAAGATGTTGATCTCAGTTGGACAGCTTGATGAGGAAGGCCAAAACGTTAGTTTTGGCAACAAGCAATGGAAGGTGACAAAGGGAAAGCTGGTCATTGCTCGTGGGCAGAAGCATGGTACACTGTACATGGTTGAAGTGTCCACAGATGGGGCAAACGCAGCAGTTGAAGATACAGGGGTCTCTACTTTGTGGCACCAAAGACTTGGGCACATAAGTGAGAACGGAATGAAGATGCTGTCTTCAAAGGGCAAAATCCCAGATTTGAAGCATTCAAAGTTGAGCTTTTGTGAGCCATGTGTTCTAGGCAAACAAAAGAGGGTAACCTTTATGAAGACAGGGCAGCAACCCAAGACTGAGCGGCTGGAGTTGATTCATTCAGATGTCTACGGACCTACAAAGGTCTCTTCGATTGGAGGTTCCCGTTACTATGTCACATTCATTGATGACTCTACACGGAAGGTATGGGTTTATTTTCTTAAAAATAAATCTGAAGTCTTTAACACTTTTAAGAAGTTCAAAGCTGCAGTAGAGAATGAAACGAATCTTAAGATTAAGTGTTTAAAGAGTGATAATGGGGGTGAGTACAGTAGCACAGAGTTTGTAGAGTATTGTGCTGAACAGGGGATCAGAATGGTGAAGACGGTTCCAGAAACACCACAGAAAAATGGTGTTGCAGAGAGGATGAACAGAACACTGAATGAGAGGGCCAGGAGCATGAGATTGCATGCAGGACTTCCAAAGATGTTCTGGGCCGATGCGGTGAACACAGCAGCATACTTGATCAACAGAGGACCCTCATCTCCCATAGGTTTCAAAATTCCAGAGGAGGAATGGAAAGGTCGAGAGGTATCTCTTACTCACTTGAAAGTTTTTGGTTGTATTTCCTATGTCAAAGTTAGAGATGCAGATAGTGACAAGCTCGAGGCAAAGGCAAAGAAGTGTATCTTTATTGGGTACGGGATGGATGACATGGTGGGCTACAGGTTCTGGGACAACCACAGCAAGAAGGTTATCAGAAGTAGAGATGTCACTTTCAACGAGAATGCCCTGTATAAAGATGGTCTTGCAGCAGAAACTAGCAAAGCCAAGCAACCAGAAAACAAACAACAAGTGGTGTTTGACGGGATGACTGAAGATGACATAGCACAACCTGTTGGTTGTGATGAGATGACTGGAGGTTCAGGGAGCAGTGGGAGCTCAGGAGATACAGGAATGTCTGAAGATAGTGGGAGTGATGAAGATGGTGAAAATTCAGAGGCAGCTACTCCTCAAGTCAGACAGTCCACCAGAATCAGAAGACCTCCTAACAGATATTCTCCTTCAGCAAATTACCTGTTGCTGACCGAGAATGGAGAGCCAGAATCTTACTCAGAGGCGTTGACCATGAAAGATTCCATACAGTGGAAGAAGGCCATGGAGGATGAGTTAGATTCACTTGACAAGAACCAAACTTGGTCCTTAGTCAAGCTACCACCGGGAAAGAAAGCTTTGGAGAACAAGTGGGTGTTCAGAATCAAAGATGAAGCTGATGGGAACAAAAGATACAAGGCGAGGCTAGTTGTCAAGGGGTTCCAACAGAAGAAGGGGGTTGATTACAATGAAATCTTCTCCCCGGTTGTGAAGATGACTACTATCAGGTTGATCCTTGGTATCGTTGCTGCTGAAAATTTGCATTTGGAGCAGCTGGATGTGAAGACTGCTTTTCTTCATGGTGACATTGAAGAAGACATTTACATGGCCCAACCAGCAGGTTTCCCAGTGAGTGGTAAAGAGAAGATGGTGTGCAAACTCAAGAAGAGTCTATACGGG